CAGGCAGACGACTGGCTGGGAGTCCCACAGGTACCGCTGCTGAGCCCCTTAAAGTTCCGGCTGCAGCATTTATTTCAGCCATTAAAGTGAAAATAATTTTTGTTCTAAAATAAAAGAGCAGAGGTAATGTGAGTCAGGATGTTTATGAGCATCGTAGAATAAATACCAAACCTTTTGACCCAAACCTTAACCCTTACTGTTAGTGAACATGCTCTGCAACCAGGAGCTGGTTCTTCTATAGTTCTAGGGGAAAGACTTTGTGGTTCTATTTGACTTCCCTCCTGTTGATCTTCAGCATAGTTGGGTTTATCTGTGCAGCTGGTAGATGTTCTTCACTTTAATTCAATTCAGTGTATTTCTATAGTGCCAATTCACAACACACGTCATCTCAAGGCACTTTACAGTTCACCAGATAATCCAGTCACATTGATTCAAAGTTTTCTATCTAAGGAAAACCAGTTGATTGCACTCATTGACTCGTAGGCAATCCCTCATATTAAAGGGCTGGATATCCTCCAGTCGCAGTGAGCTTGTTGCAGATATTTTTGATTTATGCCCTATTTTGAAGTGTGGTTCAACGCTATGTTATTCCACACCACAACGCAAGAGGGACAATAACAATCTACCTGTGGGTCTAGATACGGCCAAGGCAGTGAGGAAGTGGGGGCAAATTTGTGCGACAATGGAGGGACATGAGAGTGAAAAAAGCAGGGATCCAGGTAGAAAAAGGGTCCCAGCGTTCTCGCGCACCTCGTTCTTCTAGCTGGACCATCTTCACGATTCGTTTTCCACAATGGCAGTCATATAAACAAAACAAGCTGGTCAGGTACCAAACAGGAAATACACATAGTGTAGAGCGGATGTAGATTTGACCAATCAGAGGCCTCCTGTCTGCAGTCACCTACTATTTTGGAGAGGTGCAACAAAAGGGGGCACATTAGCGTTAACTGCAAAACACACGCACATGACCCGGTTTCTGAGTATAAATCAGCCTTAAGCATGCTTGTAGCGACAGTGGAGAGGAAAAACTCCCTTTTAACAGGAAGACACCTCAAGCAGAACCAGGCTCGGTGCGAGCGGCCATCTGCTGAGGCCGACTGGGGTTCAAGGAGACAGAAGCAGAGATACAAAATGAACTTGTCAACAAGCTCCACAAGCGACCCCGTCAAGGAAAGACACAGCCAGGCAGACGAGCTCCGAGCCAACTCCCATGTCAGAGGATGAAAAGAGCACATCCAGTTGGTCACAGTCAGAGAAACAGGAGTACATTAAAAAACAGGCTGAGCTCAAACATCTATAAACTAAGGAGAGGTTGATGGCAGCAGCACAGCTGATAATTCTCTTCAGGATGGAGTCACAACCATTCACAGACTTTAACAGCTCAGGATCTCCTCCAGTCTGTGCCATCGCTCGGTCACACCTCTGCGTTGTCAAACCTGAAATGCTGTCCATGTTTTCTTCTTCTTCAGGTGATTGCTCCAGAGGAGATCGTTGACCCAAACGTGGACGAGCACTCTGTCATGACTTACCTGTCCCAGTTCCCTAAAGCCAAGCTGAAGCCCGGAGCGCCGCTAAGAGCAAAGACACTGCATCCAAAGAGGGCTAAAGCTTATGGTCCAGGTATGGAAACCTACCAGAACTGACGGGAAATTTAACTTTGAGTTAAAGTTTAAAATCAAACCAGCTTGTGGATGTTTTTCTCTTCATGATGAAATATTTTAGCAAACACTCAGAAAAATACTTCAGTAAAAACGTTTGGTCCAAAATAAAATTCTCTATGTTGATGCCATCCATGATCCTAGTAGAAAACTGAGGCATGATTGTTCATAAAGCACCATAGATATAAGAATCAGAACTTTAAATGAACAGGAACATCTCAGCTTTGCTTAAATTGAGAGCTTATTATGTCGACAACTTCAAAAGGTTTCCTAAGAACAGACTTTAATCACCTGGAATCATCAATCAGTGATTAAACAGATGCTCATCAGTCAGATTATTTGGTCCGAACGGTTTCAGTCTTTGTTTGAAGAAGCCAACTGTTTCTGAACATCTCAGGATTTGAGTCAGCTTGCATTGAACCCAAACACTGTCTCACCTGGTTTGGTTCTGAAGGTCAGTAATGATGCATTATGTTCATTCCCAGCACCCACAAGGTTGTTCAGACTTAGCAGTACGCATTTTGTGGGAGTAAGTTGTGTAAGATTTATACCAAAACCGTGTCTCATATGTGTTTTGTTGTTTTCCTGTCAGGTATTGAAGCACGAGGCAACACAGTTCTGAAACCTGCAGAGTTCCTGGTGGAGACGGTGGAGGCTGGAATGGGGGAGGTCCTGGTTTATGTGGAGGATCCGGAGGGACACACAGAAGAAGTTAGAAAAGCCTCACAGTCAGAATTTTTTACTGAAGTAGAAGTGATCCTATGTTGGAATTCATGCTTTTTTGGCTTTGGTTCTGTCAGGCCCGAGTGATCCCCAACAATGACAAGAACCGAACCTATTCTGTGGTGTACCTGCCCAAGGTGGAGGGTCTTCATAAGGTAAAAGAAGTTCATATTGTACCCTACAGAGAGGTAATATCTCATTTATGAAATAAAATGAAATTAAATACAATTTACAAAGATGAGATTTTGTGGTTAAAAGAGCAGAGTCACATACAGTTAGTACAAACGAAACACAAAAAACATGTATTCAAGGTAAAATACAATCAGTCAAGCATTCGTCCTCATAGTGTTGACGTAGTCCTTTAGCCTAAAAACAATATGTGCACCTGGCATGATGGGAAGGCTTAATGGGGAACACCGTTTTTTTTACATTTACCTCA